TTTTTTTTAAGCAATATGTTGTTTGAATTTGATTGAACATGCCATTTGCTCATTTGCAACAGCAACTGAAACTTGCAGCCTAATATGAAAAGTTTGGCACACTTGCTATACCAATAATCACTTCTCAGATTTTATTCTTCAGGGTGAAACGATAGATTTATAAAGTTTGTACAGTCAGAGTTTTCTGACTCTGACATAGTGTGTATATATACAAGCAAACCTCATGAAGCAAGTAAGCAAGCTTTTAAGACAGCAGTTGGAAAATGTTTACAGGCTAAATCTGTTTAGATCAGGCTTAATGCTATGCAGACTTTTTGGGGATTATTTCAAGGACACAAGCAGCCTTAGTTGTTTGTGTCCTTATACACTGTTATACAGTGCACCGAAAGGCGCTTTAGTAAATATTAGTGCCTTCATTTTGAGAAAACACGGCCTAATAATTGTTTTGAACCAAGAACCTAATAAATATGTTGTTTGCTGCCAGTTCAGAAGGCAAATATTTCCAGGTCACATAATCAAGTGGTGAGGTAATTTAAAAATCTGGCTGCCATCCTCAAAAGCATTTCTTTCTCTTGCCTTTGGCACAAAGGAAAAATGCAATCCGCATTTCCACTCACCATTGTTCTCCTGGATGTGTGTGTCCCTGACTGCACAATTTGCAAAGCTGAATAGATTTTCTGCAAGATTTCATAGTAAGAATTCAAATTAAAATACAGATGATCTGATGTCTGTTAATTTTAAATATATTTTTAAACAGTGCTTTCATAGATCTAATAAAGCTGCAAAGGTAATTTAGATTAAATTTTGTTATCAAAGCGACATAACCTTTGCTTCAAGCGCTTTTTACTCCATATCTTTGAATAAAAACAATTATGCTCATTTCTAGCTCCACATTCTTGTTCCAAGACTCTAATCAAGTATGTTTTGAACAAGTCACAATTTTGAAATGACCTCTGTGTTCTGTACTTATCTGTTTTTCTTCTTCTCCCGATTCCTTTAATTGATTAGCCCCTCAAAGGTCTTCTTCCCCAAAAGTTCTCATTCGTTGCCCCTTGCCTGGTTTCCATAAACAGAACCCAGGGCTTTTATACTTTGGCACCGCATGAGATTACCGTATGAGGAAATATGTCCTGATCTGATGTCAGTTTTGGCACAGGACTTGAAAATATATTGTAAATCAAGAGAGATGCCTGAAGCCTGAGCTTTTAATTTACAGGGATTAGTCTTACATAAGCTTACCACATGATTATGCACAGAGGTTCCTTTTTGAACTGTTACAAGTCAAGACCAGAACATGTTTTTGGATAAACCCACCAGCCCACCACATGCAGTAAAACTGCATCTATATTGTCAGATGTGGACCAGAAAAGGGACAGAGAAGATTTGGTTTGCAGCCCAAACTGCAAAGTTACAACCAAACCGAGGCATGTAAACAAAAATCACATGGTCTTGCTTTCTTGCTTGTTGGACAGCGTTTTAGTAGCCTGTCATCCTGCCAGGCTAAAGATTTAGCAGCTCTGATTTGACTGTAAATTCAGCTCAGCGTGATGGACGCTGTAAGTAAGAAGTAAGAAATTAATCTCTCATTACTCGACTTGCATATTTTCAGGTTCAAGGTTAAGAGAAAATCACATTGACATGAGGATATTTCAGATCCTGAGGCAGCCATGCTGAAGACGATAGCTTCCAGTGATTCCAATGACAGTTCCGTATGTGGATTATTTTTATTCTTTCCACTGCTTCTTTGTTCGCGAGGGGACGCCACGGCGGATGGAGCCGCATGTTTGATTTGGCACAGGTTTTTCTTACGCCTCATGCCCTTCCTGACGGAAATCTCCCAGGGATTTGTGTCTCTTCCCGGTCTCGAAATGGGACTTGTTCATGTGTTAGCTGAATGTGTTAACCACAACACCATGAGTATAAACCACTACAGGGCCATCCACCTCTGGGTGCTGCATTAATGAACCACAATGATCTATTTGATAAAAACAATGTGATTGTATCCATGCATGCATGGAGTTGTGAGGATCCTTATCCATGCATTTTATTTTATGGAATCCATGGAGCCTGATGGGTGGAGACAGCTTTTCTGGTTAAAATGTCTCTTAACCATCCAGCTAAGGCTGATGTCAATTTATTTTTCTATTATTTGAAGGTAATAGAAAATCATTTAGTTTAGGAAATGTCAAAAAAGTGAACGTTGCCGTCACAATTCCACTGAAGTGGCATCTTTAAAGAGACTGTTTTTTACTTTTATCTATTTGAACAATTCTTGTTTTTGAGAAAATAATTGGTATTTTTGTCTAGATAAATGACTTAGAAATTGCAGTTTATTATTTTTTTTTCTCCTCCCTCTTAATTAATATTTTCAGAACAACAGTCCTCACGTAATTTGGTGCTCCATGCATTTATTCCGATCATATTGTTCAACTTCCCAGTTATCACTGTGTGGCCCGCCGTGACTGAGCAGAAGAAAGACCTCCTTATCTTTACTGTATGATGTGCATTTTGAGCAGATAAAAGCAAAAGATTTTCTTAAAGAAAGGCTTTCACTGTGAAGTGTTTCCAAGAGAACTCTGTGCAACAAAAGGCTGCTGGATTATAGCAAAACTCTGAATCATTAGATTAACTAATATTGACACCAGAATCATTAAACAGGACTGCTTCTTGGCTTTGGGTTAATCATGCATCGTATTTCTTGTTCGTCATCCGACTCCTTGGACCCAAAGGTTTTCAAACAGCTGAATTGGTTTGACCTTTCTGTTTTTGACTCAAGCTGTTTTGAACCTGCAAACAGCTTTGTAGGGGGCGAGACCTTTAGGGAGGGATGAAGGTGCCACACTTGAAGGGAACGGAGTACACTGGATTTATAGCACAAAATGACAAGAGAATGATTGCAAAATGGCATTACCCTATTATCGTCTTGGAAGCTAAATAGCAAGTGTTTTAAGTAGAACCTCCCACTTGCATTACTTACATTTACACATCTTAAAACCACTTTAGTTGAGACGGGTGAGAAGGAGATATCTCTGTGCTCATTTTTTGTAAAAGTTGTTTGCCGAATGGTCACAGGTATCGGAGGCATTCGTAACTGTTGCAAATGTAACATTGTCCTGACAACGAATCTAGCATTTAAAAAAAGGATTTGGGTCGTTCAGAGTGGGCTTTTGCAGGTGTTACAGCACAACTACGTCCTCTGGAGACTCAACTCAAAATTAGATGCTGACAGTTGTGAATGAATTACAAGCAGCACAGACCGTATTGCAAGATGCATGAGCATTTCAGGCTGTGAATGTGAGATTGCGTTGCTGTATGGTTGTGCATCAGACTGTCGTTTCTCTCTCTGGCAGAGTATGGGCACATCTTTATACTCTCACTGTTGGATTGGGATTGGCGCAGAGTTAAATCATGTTTTTGTTGAGGGGTGAGTGGGTGAATAAGGTCTGCGTCGGTGCCGGGGCCGAAAGAGAGAGAGAGCACGTGCACGTATGTACCAAGATGCCTGCTTCTCTCCTCTTCTTCTGTGTCGGCTGTAAGCTGGGTGGTTTCAAGTGTACACAAGTGTACAAAGGGCATGTGCGCTGGGAACTGCTCAACACTCACAATAGTGGGAAGTGTTGTGGAAAGGAAGTCAGTAAGAGTATTGACATTAGCACCCTCAAAAGGGCTCATTTAAAAAGCGCAAGCAGTTTGTTATTCAGCTCATACCTGTTCGGTAGTCTCATGCCTCTAGCCTCACCTTGCTTTGTTCCTTTCCTTTCCTTTCCCCACATTTCCAGCTCTCTTGTTTTGTTTTGCTCTTCCTCCCCTCTTTTCGTCCTCTACCTCTCCCATCCACTCCAACTCTAAGCCCCCCCCCCCATCCCATGGTTCCCTCTCCTCGTCTCTCATGTCCCCTCCTCTCTTCGCCTCTCCTCTCTCATCTTGTTCTCCGCTGCATCGCTCAGTCAGTTGGAGAGGCAAGAGTCTCTCCACTCGCACTGCCTGCCCGCCTCGTCGCTGTTGCTGCTGCTGCCTCGATTAGCCGTAGCCTCTCTTCTCTTCCCTTTCATTTCATTTTTTAAACTTATATTCCCAGCTTAATCACAGCCTTCCCTTCCTCATTCTTGGAAGTGTGATGTGTTTTGCGGCCGGTCACGTAGCTGTTAAGTCCGCTGTTTCTCTCTGGCGGTGTGTTGTAGTGTAGCTTTTGCTTGCTTTTGTTGTGGCATGTCTGTTTACATCAGCAGCATGGGTCGCAGGGCAGGGGCAGCCAGGGGCAGCCGAGGGAGCAGCACTAGCAACAGAGGAGGAGCAGCTGGAGAAGGAGGAGAGAAATGTGAAACGGGACTGGCAGGAGCACTGCCAGGAGACACAACCGCGGGAGGTGGAACAGGAGGGATAGCTGAGGATCAAGTGGTAGAGAAAGGAGGAGGTCCAGGACGAGCAGTGTATGGAGAAGGATGTGGCTCAACAGTAGCAGCGGGAGGAGCAGGAGGTGGACTGGGAGGAAGTGTGTGTCGGGGAGTTTGTGTGTCAGTCCAGGAGCTTAGCTACTGTCTCTGTCTGCCCTGTTGTTGTACAGTGTTACTGCAGCATGGAGCCGACCCCAACATCCGCAACACGGACGGCAAGTCCGCCCTGGACCTGGCTGAACCCTCCGCCAAGGCCGTGCTCACAGGTCAGTTTCCTGTCTGTCCTTTACACGCTGCGTACACTCAGAACAGCAAATATGTGTTTCTTTCTGTCACGGTGTGTGTTCTTGTGCAGGCTGCTTGTGTGTACTGCTCATAGTTTCTTGTGTGCCTTCCCAGCGCTCTTCTACTCCTGTCTTCACGCTAAGTGTGACCACAACTTTCATTTCCTCTCTCTCCCAAGGTTTCAGGCAGCATCACCTTTTTTCTGCCTTATCTGTCACGCTCTCATTTTACAAGGCTGCGCTGCTCTTGTGTTCAGTGTGGACTGCACACCCATTGGTTACTACATCCCATTTTTTTTGTTTTGCTTCTCTCCAAGGCTGGAGTTTGTGGTTAGCGAGGTCGTGTCTCTGCTGTCTTTTTTGTTCTCTCTTTTTTATTTTCTCCGTTGAGTCTTTTTGGCTGAAGCTGCACTCATCGATCAGTCACTCAATAAACCATTGTTGAATTGTGTTGAATTTTTTTTTTTGCTCGCTTGCCTTTCTCTCTGTAGTCCTTTATTTTTCCTTCTTTCCTTGCCTTTATTCACAGAATTATATCATGAACAGCAGCAAATTGATAAGAACTTTGCACTGCAGGTCCACATGTATTAGCCGCTGCAACACCCTAATGTGTGCGAGGATAAGCATTGATCATCATTTCCTTCACGGCTTGATGTGAGATTTAGATTTTTAGACTGAAATCACAAGGAACTAATAGCTAACATTCAAAGCGTTTTGACTTTTCCCTTTTTTATGTATTAAATCATTTCCTTACGGTAAGGCAGTAGAAACAGGTTTTGACGTCCTCCAAGCAAAAGAAGGGGGAAAAAAAGCTTGCAGCGCATTAGTGACCAAAAAAACTTTGCTGTGAAACTCAAGCTAATTATTGGTTCTTTCATTGTTATAAGCTCATAAAAGCAGCAGGACTCATTACACCTATTCAGTGGTAGAGGAACCACTGGGACATAGTTACAGCTTTTTAATGAGGAGCTTTTGAAAAATATATATTTTTAATAAATAGTTAAAACCCCCTCTTTATTATTTTATCTCAGTTTCTTTTTTTCTTTTTCTTTTTCTTTTTTTTTTTTACATCTTTCCTTTCATTATCATCACTTCTTGGCATTGCATATGTGTTATTTTGACGATCAGAGCGCTTGTTTCACAGCGATCACTCAGATCGCAAAGGTTGAAAGACTGTGGGTTCGTATGGATCCGAATGTTTTGGTTCGCTGTAGTCTTAAGTAAGTAGACTTTTATATTCTCTTACTTTCGCTCTCTCTGGGTATTGATGTTGACTCTAAATCAGCACCCGCTTCTGTGTTTACGCTGAATTTCATCACCGTGCTGGTCCTCGCTGGTAAATGAGATGAACCTGGAGATACTACAGCGAGGAGCAGTGCGGTGTCAAAACAAGGCGCTCCACAGTATATTTGATAGAAAATGTTTACCGAACATTGCAGACTTAATTAAGTGTGCTTATACTTTATGTAATGACTCGAGGAGGCTAATAATGTAAACAACAAACCGACTGAGACCTGCTTCCAAATTGGGAGTATAGTAGTGCAGCTTACACTGCGCACTCGCAGAGAAGCTCACAGGAAAAGGTTTTTTTTTTTGTTTTTTTTTAAATGTTCTTCTCTGTGAACTCCTTTAATTAGAATAACAAGGATGTGAGTTGCTTAGAACAAGGGATGTCAAGCAAAGATCTTGCATGTGGTATTTACAAGCAACATGAATGTCGTTATTGTGTGGTTATACATGCTGATTTGGCCCGTTTGCCAGCATAGTCAGCAGTTGCAGCAGTGGCTGTGACACGGGGCTCATGAAGGTAATTAAGGCATTTCAGCTACTTCTGCCCAAAGTCATAACTCAGTCAAGTCTGAACACATTTTAATTTAATTTAATTTTTTAGGCTCAAGTGTGATTTACGCTTCCATGTGATAACTGGAAGAACTGCAAACAGAAACTGCTCAAAGTTAATTTGCCATATTCCCAGAGTTATCGCGATGCTTGCGTTTAATCAGCACCAATTGCCCATCATCAAATTCCTTTTTTATTGCATACACTGATTCAACTCACTGTTTGAGGACACTCGGTCTGCATCCAATGTATCGATGGAACAGGACAGTATTCCACCAAAATCGGAACATCTGTGCAAGGCAAAAACTGGAGCACGAACAAAAAACGCTGCACGCCTCCTGACAGAGCAACACCTGGAGCTGACAAAAAACTCAATGGAGAGCCACCTGAAATAGACGCAGAACAGTAATACCCGTGATTTATTTTTAACTTACTTTCTCATTTTAACGTCACATAACTCTGTTCAATTTACAATCCAGTCGGCAAAGAAGTTGGTATGGTGAAGAAAATGTAAATCACAATAGAATGCAATGGTTTGCAAGTAATAATAGAAATTCTATATTTGTTTTAAATAAGAGTTCAAAGGCATTTTTACTTTCTTTAAATGAAACTGACATTCATATTTTGATTTTGATGCCAGCTATGCTTATCAAGAGTTGGGACAGGGGGATGTTTTCCACTGTGTTGCATCATCCCTTCTTTTAGCAACTGTAATTATTTTGGAACTGAGGAGACCAATTACTGCAGTTTTAGAAGCAGACGTTTTTCACATAGATGTTTGTAATGGGATTTTAGCTGCATAACGGTCTAGACTCTCCCAGGTCATATCTTTAACATTTCATGACAGCCAAGTATTTACAATGGATAAGAAGTCTGGACTGTAGGTGGGCCTTTTTAATACAGAGCTATGCTTTGTAATGTGCGCAGAATTTGCTTTGGCACTATCTTGCTGAAGAAAGGTCCTCACTAAAAAGATGTCTGGATGTAAGAAAACTGGTGTGCATTCTCTGACCACCTTGCACCCTTTTGCCTCCAGAACTGTGTGATTTCTTCATGGCGTAGATTCTGCAAAATGTTGGAAACATTCCCTTAAGAGGTTTTTATCCGTATTGATATGATGACTGTCATACAGCCATCAAGTCTTTCCACTTCCTGAAGGTGCTGTAGTGGATTGATATCTGGTGACTGCGGCAGTCATTTGACTCAGTGAACTTATAATCATGTTTTAGGAAATAAGTTTGAGATGATTTAAGCTTTGTGGCATGATGCGTTATCTGGCTGGAAGCAGCCATCAGGACATGGGTACACTTCACAGCAATACTCAATTAGGCTGTGGCATATTGAATAATGATTAGTTGGTACTAAGGGGCCTTAAGTGTGCCAAGAAACTACCACAGCATTGCACCAACACCAGCATACTAAACCTCCAGGCAGGAAGGATCCATGCTGTTGTTTATAGCAAATTCTGACCCTATCGTCCAAAAGGGGCAGCCGAAACTAAGCCTCAACAGACCATGCAACTTTTCTTTTCCAATCTTTTTTTTAGCTTAAAGCTGAAAGCAGTCTGGCCATTCAGCTCTGGTATCAAAAAGATATTTTCAACTAGACAAATGCCACCCATTAGATATCTTTTCTTTTTTGGACCATTCTCTGTAAACCATGGGGATGGTTGTGTGGGAAAATCCCAGTAGATCAGTAGACTCAGAGAAATACTCATACCAGCCAATGTGGCACCAACAACCATGTCATGTTCTGCTCCAGTCGGATGCTTGGTTGAAAGTGAAGCAGGTCGTCTTGACCATGTCTACATGGCTAAATACATGAAGTTCCTGCCATGATTGTCTGATTAGATATTTGTGTGACATGACATATCGGAAGGTAAAACTCCAATTAGGAAGTTGCTAAACAGATACAGATCTAGCATAGAGCTGAAAACATAAATGATGATGGACTGCTTGTGACTCTTTTCAGGAGAGGCAGATGTGTGTTGTGACATTTCTGTGAAAAAGTCAATAGTAAAGTATTTACAAGGACAGCTAAACCTGTCAGTTTGAAAATGTGTCATTTTCAAAAATAATCTGCTGACGCATTCAGGCGAAAAAATATAGCTACCGGTGAAAATAGTTGATCACCGGCAGTCTGAGTCTCCACGCCACTACTAGTTCCCTTCATCCTGCGATGGTTTTGTTTGTGGCTCGGCTCAAACAAATCACCACATCTTGTTTGTACCGTGAATTATGTTTTTAATAGTAGACACTAATTACCCACGCTATCATCCCGTTACATTGTCTCTGCACGTCACGCCATTCTGGAAGGATTGCGCTGTTGTAATTACTGTAGGAAGTGATGCGTTTAATGGGATGCACTGACTGACAGTTTTAGTATTGAATATATGGTCTGGTTTTGGTAAAGGCTGCAGGAAAAAAATGAGCAGGGGGAGTTATTGTGAACGTATGTACTTGTGTTTTTTATTTGTAGCCTGTGCCGTGCTCTACGTGACGGTATGGACCTTTTCCCCTCGTCCTATGTATTGTGTGTCTTAGATTTAAAGGTTCTGCTCTATTCCACTTCTCTGCCGCAGGCCAGCACAGCTTTTAGTCTGCAGTGATGGAAGTTTATATTGACCCATAAATTAGCTATACTGCTCTGCCACATCCAATAGGGTGCTCTTAGGAAAGTCTGTCCCCTGTTAGCTGGGGATGTGAAACGGAAAGGCAAAAAAATTCTGTTGATATATTTATTTTAATGTGGGTTCAAACCCCTCACACTGTGTTGTAATTTTAAAAAGCAACTCTGTCAGATGACATCTGCGAATTAGTTTTTTTTTTTTTTTTTTGTTTATCTTTTGTGAAGTTCATCTCGCAGTTTGGTTTCCTGATCAGGATGAACATCACAACAAGACAGACCCGTGTGGACTGCCAGCTTTTTGTTCTGTTAATTTACTCAGGCGCTCCCCAGATGCTCTTTTTACACACACACAGCCAGGGAAATCTGCAGATTGCTGTTTCAGTCTGTTGCAAGCATCAGACACAACTACTCACGTCACACTAGGGGGTAGACTCACATGGACAGCTTCACTTCCTACGTTTCTGACAAGTATTTGATGAATAAAGCCCTGGTGTTGTGCTTCTTGTTGGTTGCAG